GATAAGAAGGGCAAATCCTCAGGCAACTAAACTTGCAGTTTTTTAGCTTGCCTGTGAGAGATGAAGTGGATAAGCCTGAGCCCCCGATGTAGTGTTGGTTCGGGGAGCAAATAAAAAAAAACCTTGCATCTACAAGACATTTGTCTGGACAGTTTACCCAGTAGCTGTTTTTATATGTGAAAACCCCCAAACTTGAATATATTTTGTAGCTTGGCAACTAGATGTGCAGACACTGGAGAAATGCTTTTCATTAAGCTGTGTGTCTCCTTTAATGTAAAAGACACAGTTGTGCTCTCTGGTGTCTTTTTTGAGAAATATTTTAAGTGTGAATTTTTACAAAGTGAGATGGGAAAAAAAAACAGAAGATTCAGCAGAATATGAATATTTCTATACAATAGAATAAAAACAAATCTGCCGTGGGATTTATGCTTTTCGGCAGTGCTAATTCCAACAAAGACACAACAGTGCTGTCGATCAGTTTATCGTGAATAAAGGGAGTAGTAACTGGTGGACGTGGACATGTTACTAGGATTTTTTGTTCATCTGCTTCCTCAAATGTAGTCTAAACGTAGAACTTTTTAAAAGCTATATGTAAGCAATGTATGCAGTAATCTTGTAACTTATGAGTAGGATTAATGAGTGTATCTTCTGTGGAAGCTTTGAAAACTCTCCTTTCAGGTACCAAACTTGCCAACATTTTTGTTAATTGATTGTAAAGATAATCCACACATAGATAAGAATATTCTAACATATAAACCACATATAGGCCTCAATTCTGCCCGTTTTTTTTATCTTTAGTACGCACTGTTCCTGTATGTACGGGCATACTAGCAAAACAGTGAAAATGAGTGATATGTTTTGATGCTGCTTTTAATGGTTATCATTTCTGTTCAAGCAAGTTGTCTTGGATTAAAGAACCAAAATTAACCTTAAAAAAAGTTCTAAATTTGCTCATCTATTTCAGAAGTAGACAAATTATTGTAGTACAAAACACAAAATAAATAGTTATTAATTGAAATAAAAGTTACTGTATATTATTAAAGCTGCAAACAAATTTTTCAACTCATGATGCCTGCAATTTTCATAAGCAGGGCAGACACTGACCTGGAAGACAGTTTAAAGATCTAACTAGTTTTGTTCTAACTAGATATCTGTTCAGAAATGCCATTGGTGTACCTATAAAGCTAAATCTTTTATTAAAGCAAGTTTTTCTTTCTATATAAACTCAGAAATTCTTCCAGATATTGTTACACAGTTGTCTGTTAACGGAACTCAAGGTAGTAATTAAAAAGAAAACAAAGGAGAAAAAAAGGAAAGAAGCTTCCTAATAATAGCGTGTATGTTATTTTTGTTATGAAGTAGAAGTTCACTTTGTTACCGTTGGATACAAGGAACTCATGTCTCCAATTCCGTGTGTGAGATCAGTTTGGAAGCTGGGATGTAGCTTACGTGGAGGTGCTGATGGTGAGGTGAGTCTTACCCGCCTATGATGTATCCCTATCGCATCGTGTCATAGCGTATCACTGTGCTGTGCTCAACAAGCAAAGAAAGTGGGATTGTAAATGAAGCTCATACTTCAGTGCTGTCACTGCAATATCTGATATGCCATCTATTGAACTGTCATCCTTAATTTGGCACAACTGAACCAATTCCTAAGTCGCTTTTAGGAGAGGAAAAAAAAAAAACAAAATTCTGAAGAGGAAGAACTAAACATGACTCAAGCCTCATGAGGTAACTCTGGCTTGTTCTTAATTTGAAAAAAAAACCCAACTATTTGATTTTTGTCTTTGTAAAAGCAATTGAATGAGCAGAGGTTCTGATAAATATCTGCTGGAGAAAGAATCCTTCAATTAATTTCCATCTGTTTTCTGTTATGCTAGAGTTTTGTGGGGTTTTTTTGTTCATTTTTGTTTTTTTTTTCCTCTTGTAATTGGAGGGAGAGTAATATATGGGTCTTACAATTTTCATTTTTGTAAACTTTTTTTTTTTTTTTAAACTACATAGCTACTACATAGCTTGTAGACAGATTCACCCGCATGCTAATATTAGAATTGAGCTCAAGGTAGCAGTGGAAATTGTGACTGCTTGTATTTCTCATTCTGAAATTCCTGTCAGGCTTTGCCACCCTGGGTACCAAAATATAGTCTCCTTTATACTGCTTAAACATGGAGCTGCTGCAGAGTTTTCGGATCTGGAGCACAGACCAATAAGCTCTTCATTTGGAAAACTCATGGAATTCCTTGGGCTTGTGATGTTCAGATATGTCCAGCTTAGTCCTGTGCCTTTGTTTGGATGAGAGTTAGAAACACACGTGTAAAGGCAGAGCCTGGCCAAGGCAAGACTAGAGTGGCACCTGCAGCTTCAGTGTGCACTGTGTAATGGTGTTCTTGTGTCCAGGAAAATGCCAGCAGCACATGGAGAGCATGTGCATAGAGCTGTACATCAAAGTCTAGGCTGTGCTTTTTCATGCTCTTGGATGTGTCCTGTTGGTTTATTTTCTTGACAGGAAATGAGTGTGCCATTACTGAGGTGATACAGAATAGCATCTTCACTAGCAGGGGGTGGCATGGTAACACCTAACAGCAGCAATCGGGCGAGAAACTGGTACATGGAAGTTCAAGTCTCCTGATGTTTTATGTAGAGAGATGGCAAGTTAGGGAAAAGTGAAGGATTTCTTCTCCCGTGGGGATCTTATGAAGCAACATGGCGGGTTGTGTTCTGAGTGGGAAAGTTTAGTGACCACTAGGTGGTTGCATGGAGCTAAAACCATGACTTATGGCTCAGGGCTGTTCCCTGAGGAATCAGTATGTTTGGAAGTAGTTGCAATCACACAAATAGACTTCCTGAGCACTGCTGCCTTTTGAAGGATAATCGTTTCTTCCTTCTTAATCTCTCTCGCCTTAGTGCAGATATCTGAAAATAAAGGCCAGCATGTCCAGCATGTCCTACCATGGCTGAGCTCTGCAGCTCCAGCCAGGCACTGCCTCTGCAGCATCCCACAGGATAGGAGTTTCCACCTCATGTTTCCATTCCACTCTGAGGGGCCATCCCTGCTTTGTTGTCTGGACAACATCAGCATTGGGGGCAGGAATTTAGTCTTGAACCAGACTTGTTTCTGAACTGCATTTATAAACGCAGAATAGAACAAAGGGTTTTTTTAAATAAGAACTCAGGTCAAAGTAGTGATTCCTGAGAAGCAGTGCCTTATGTTTCTGCAGCCTTCCCAAGCCATGGGCCTCCCCAAGCCCTGACTAAGAAAGCAAAGTGCAGAGTAGTGCAGTTGCTGAGCCCTGTCCCGGGGAAGGATACGGCGCCACATTGCTGGGGGGCTGCTTGCTTTCTCACAGCCCTGCTGCCCTTCCCAGCTAGTAGGGAAGCTGGTGAGGCCAGAAAAGCCTGTGAGGGGAAGGGAGGAAAGGTGCACAGGGCCTGGGCTCCCTTCAGTTGCATTCTTGGGAGTTTGACCATTGACTACGAAAGAGGGAAAACTCAAGCCAGAATGGATTTCTATTTAAATGTGTTAAATGGCTGCATGATACAGATTTACTTGTACTGTTTTGAGCATCTTTAACAAAGACAGTAGCTTATTTTCTATGGTGTTGTCTTGGGTTTAGACTTTTCATAATTAGTTTCTATACATAGAGCAGATCAAAAGAAGTAGCTTGCAGATATCAAAAAGATGCATGTTTTCTCACATACAAGTGTTTCCTTGCTTTAACTTCATGCTAATGGCTTATTATTAATGCTTTTTAAAGACCATAAGAGATACAGCCTTATTTTTTTTTCCTTTGTGATTAATTGTAGCCATTCTCTATCTGCTTTTTTTTGTAAGCAAGCTCTTGCCATATGAAGGAAGTATATGGCATAAATGTGTTTAAATGTATACATATTAAAAAAAGCAGTCCTCCTTTTCGTCAGGCACCTACATCATTAAAATTGATCGCAAAGAGGAAAATTCTGTTTTAGAAGATGTTATTCCCAGCACTTGTTTTCATTTTTCATCATGGGAAAATACTTCCAACATTTTCAACTTAAGTTCTCACTGTATGGTTTTAAATGTTCTTATCATATAAGGGCTTTTCATATGTTCCAAGAGTTTAGGCAGTTTATTGTTTTTGAGTTACTAAAATTCTTGCAGAAAGTTATGCTGCTGAAATTTCAGTCATGTCACATATGGGATTATAAAAAGAATAAGTGCTGAAAGTGGAGTTAATCCTGCCATGGCCATAAAGCTGTGTGCTTTGACTGCTTGCTTGTGTGGTCTGTGCTCCATGTCCCAGTCTTCTTGAAGTGTTTTCTGCATGAACTCTGTGACAGTCAAAAGCCCAGTGTAGTTGCAAATGAAATGCACCTGGGCCCTTTTACTGTGCATTTTATTTTTTATTCATATTATTTATTATGCATATAATAATGCAATGCTAAATGCATAAAACAAAGTATTTAAGAGGTTTGAGTAGTCTAGATATCACATCAATATAGAAATGAAAGACTTTGTGGATACTGTGATGATTCTAAGTGCTCGTCTTTTTAGTTAAAAAAAGGCCCTTTTTGACCTCCAAGTGACCTGACTTACCCTACCGCCTTCGTGCTGAGTAAAAAGTGGAAATGGCTTTTATTGTGGTATCCCATAAAATAAATATTGTTATTACTGAATTTGGTATTGGAGTCATTCCAGGCTCAAAACTTGAGAAAGGATTAATTCCAAGCTCTGTATCCAATCTTCCATTTTGGATTGGAAGGGGCAGAAGTTTTGGGTTGTTTTTCTTTTAAGCACTTACATTTAGTATAAAGAGTCAAATCAAAATCTTTAATTATCATCAGGCCAAAGAACTATTAAATATAATCAAAAAATTAAACAACCTCACCATAATTTACTCACCATAGTACCATAAAAATGGTACTATCCAATAAGTAATATAATATTAACAATTTTTACTATTTTAGTACTATAAAAACCTGATAAACAGTTTGCATTGTCATATAGTTATATAGGTACTTACCACTTAAAAAGCAGCCTCAAATGGAGTGTGAATTCCTCCATCTGGAATTTGTCACGGATTAAAGTGATGATCTTTTGTGGTTTTGTTTGAAGTGCTCAGTCTGAAATTAGAGGAAATTTACTGATGGTTATATTATATGGAAAGAAGGATTGCTCTGATATGCTAACAACAAAATTGATGTCTCTTGCCTTCTGCAGAACACAAGAACAGTGATTTATTTTCCATACGCCTCAGAGTCGAGTAGCTGGGTAACTTACACTGCTCTATGCTCACGGGATCGGTTGCGTTTCTTGAAGCAAGATTCCAGTGTGCTGAGTGAAGGAAACAGATGGAGTAAGGGGGCAAGGACAGATGGGTACCAAAACAGTGCAGCCACCGTTTTCAGTACCTGGGCACGAACTGTCAAGAACCAATTCATTTTCATGTACTGAAACACAAAAAATCATAGATTATGAAACTGAAGCAGAAAGTGCACAAGAACGCTCTCCTCTGAAGAACAGTGTATCTTGGTAGTGGTTAATGACAGTTCCAGGTAGGCTGCATTTAGAGTGAAATCTCTGCAGGTGAAACTTCCCTGGGGCAGCAGTTTGGCACCATTCATGAGAGCGAAGCGTCACTGCAGTGTGCGGAGAGTGGCCGGCTGCTCCTGTGCCTTCCCGCAGCGTTCCCAGCCACAGTGCCTGTGAGCCCCTGAGAACGGCCACGAGTCCGGGAGGTCCCTCTCTTTCCTGCAGCGACCTTAAATCATGAGACTAGAACAGGGATGAGATGGAAAATCAAAGGAGATCTGCTATATATATATATGCACCAGCAGTGCTTATCTGCTGTGTGGCACAGCTGCTCTGCTCACATACTTGACCTTGACTTAATTTGATCATCGCCGTGGTTAACTAGGAAGTTCAGCTGTGAGCCAAATCATTTCCAGACACCCCTCCTCCTGGTAGCTGCCAGCTTGTTGCTGGTGATGTTGAATTTTTATCTGAACACCTGTCCATTAGAAATTGGATGGTGCTCGTCCAGACAATTTCCTTTTATTACAGAATTATTTTGCAATTATGGGACTTTTAAAATTGTAGAGTACAAATAAAAATTTTGCTTGTATTCAAAATGCTTGAGAAATTGAGAGATATAGATCAGAATACAGGCCTATTCTCATGATTACTGAGTTTATATCAGGAAGTTTTCTTGCGTGGAGGCTTTTCATGAATAGCTGTCATGTTTTGGAGCAACCTAGGTAAAAGTCTGATAAGTCAGTAACTCACTTTGAATTGCCTTTCTAACAGATTTTATGCCACTTGCCTTTAAATTTTCCTATAGATAATTCAAATAAAGTTATTAATCTTTCAAAATGATTTTCTAATTTTAAGTAAATAATAATTTCAGGGGCTAGCCTCACTTTTTTTTTTTTTTTAAGTAAATCTTATGGAGAGTCTTGTTCTCATAGTAAAAAAAGACTTTAGACTGTCCCTCTGTTAAATGTAATTTAGAGCTTAGTGTGGCAAGAACTGAAATTTTTCACTTTGTCAGCTGGTCATCCATTACCTTCCCTATGCAGTATGGTATTCTAGCTCGTATAGATGTGCATTGCTTTCTGGTTACTGTGATAGCTAGAAGTGAAATTACAGTCTTGAGCCATAAACAAACCTTTCAAAGCTCATTGTCTTTCCTCCCACCTTTAAACAAATTTTAAGCAAATCTGTGCTGGTTTAGGACATAGTCTAAGAATGAGGCAGAATAGTTCAGAGGTTGCACAGTGGGATAAATGTGAAGGAAAATGATCTGTCTTGGTTTCGTAGCTGAAGTGGAGGAGAAATCGTTGTTCACTGTTGCCTTCAATCAGAAAATGTTAATATCTAAAATTGGTTTGAGAACTGCTCTATTTATGCAGATACAATTGTTAGTGCTCATAGTGCTTGTCATTTTTTTCAATAAAATTTGTGAGTTGCAGTAACTTGGACGCAATTGACGTTGTTCCTCCACTGGGACTTCTTACAGAATTGCATATCACCATAATAGATGTTTTTGCTTCCCTGTTCTCCCTGCAGTACGCTTAGTCCTTTTCTCATCTGAGTCTTTATCTGAAAGGAAAAAGATGTGAAATAATGTTTCTTTTAAGGAGGTAGGAGATAAACTATCCAGTTTTCTTCAGTCCTCTATCTGAAAGAAACAGTGTAAAATCTTTACTAGGACCAAAGCAGTGAGGAAGTTTTCCAGCTCCTTTAGTTTAAAGATGGAAAGGAACCATAACTTAATGCTTTTGAAAATATACAATTACCTTGAAACTGAAATTTGCTCCTTACTGTTGCAGTTATTTTGAAAACAAGTTTGCAATACACAAGCTATTTGCTCTTAAATCCCTATTACAGAAGTAATGGCCACTAATGAGACTACTTCAATAGATAAACCTTCAGCTCAATGAAACCTGGAAGATTATAATGGCAGGAGCATCTTGTTACTAATACAGATGAGTAATGTCATTATTTTGATCTATATAGGCCAGACTTGAGGAGAAGATGGATAAAGGCTGTGCTGCAGTCATTACTTACCAGCAGTAAGTTTCAGTGATATGCAGTTTGATTTATATACTTGATTTATATTCAGCCCAAACTGAGACTGCCCTTTTTCAAATCATTTGGCTACTTTTAATTCTCAAGAGGAATGTTTTTAGACAAGACAGCAGTCTTGGACAAGGCTCTTGCTGATCACTGAATTTAGGACTTCCTGCCCCGATACAGAGGGAGAAGGAATGCGTATGTGCTGTGGAGAAGAAAGCTTTTTGTTAAAAATCTCCTGAGAGTCCTCAGCTATTGCGAAGGAAAGATTGCTAGCCCAAGCACTAAGGCTTATCAAAGCTGCAGCAAAGACAGAGTCTCTCTAAAGTGGTCAAAACTCAAGTGCTCAAGTAATCTTGTTTCTGTCCACTACAGATGAGGGCACGCTTGTCTAAATGCTTCTTCGAGCTATGCTGCCTGTGTTTTTGGCTTCCCTATTCTGTTCTAGCTTACTGAAGTAATATAAGATGAATGTGAATCAGCTGTGGGACACACATGTCAAAAGAAAGGTCACAGTCTTCTGTACAAGTACAAATAGGGATAAATGCCCAGTATATTCATTGTTTTTTGAGCATCTGTCAAGAGCTGAGCATCCAGCAAGATTCCCATGTAGAAAATGACTCTTGCCAAGACCTTCCTTCCTTCCTTCCTTCCTCCCTTCCTTCCTTCCTCCCTCCTTCCCTCCCTCCCTCCCTCCTTCTCTCCCTCCCTCCCTCTCTCCCTCTGCAAATGAACTGAGCTTCCTCATCTAAGGTGTAAGCTGAAGCAAATATGCAAGATGAATGGATTAGTCCAACCAATTATTTCAGTTATTGAAAAAAACAGCTTCCATTTTGTACCTGAAATGAGAGACCTAAGTCTAAGCTGTAGGCATCATTGTTTTGTATAATGATAAACCATTTGAAATAATTACTTCATCCTTAGCTTTTACCTAAAAAATATAAATTAGATTATGAAGGCAGTACTGTAATCTGCATAGTCAATAAAAGATGACAGGAGGGGGTGCCTGCGAGCTCAGAGTCTGCACCGCAGCTGGTGCATCCTGAGTGTGGCTGCGCGGCGGCGAGGCTGCGCAGCGCCCGCTCTCTGTGTTTCGGGTTCCTCCCTACAAGCATCATGCTCACTGGCAGGCAGAAAACTATCATACTTTTACTAGTAGAAAGTAATTGCAGAATTTTACATACTATAGTACAAAAAAGGTTCATTCTTCTTCCCACCACAGAAATGTGTTTTTGTCACAGAAAACGGTATTTTCTTTTCACTTCATGTGTGTGTTCTTGCCTCAGAATGATGCTACGGAGTTGTTCTGAATGCCTTCGCTCAGCTTCAGAGCTCAGATGGTGGTTAATAAGAACCTTCAGCTGTGCTTTGCTAATTCATTGTCAAGTAGTTTATTAAAAAAGAAACATAAAACTCAATTTAGCTGGTGTTTGTTAACATCACTTCTGCCAGTGTCTTTTGGAGTCTCATTTGCTGATTCTTATCTCCTGCTTATTCCAGAATCCTTCAGAAATAAAATAAAAGTACTCAGGGCAAACACTTTCTCTTGACACTAATTGTTCTCGGTGTAATTGCATACTCTTTTGAGGATGAAGAAGGAAGCATAAGGGCCTGAGACAGGTGTTAGCATTTCCAAGCCATGACTAAAAGCAGTTTAGTTCAGTTGATAAGGCTAAGTAATTGCAGGGGCAACCTGCAGGAAGTGCAAGGATCATATAATGAAAAAAAAAATGTGGTAGCAGAAGAAATATAGCGAAGGATATGATAAAGAAAAAAATGAATGAAGGGGTGAATGATCTTAGAGATTAGTGAAACAGTATCAGTGAGGAAAAATAACTGGAAGATAATAAAAAACAGAGGAATAGGCATAATACATAACAGGAAAACAAAGAAGTAGGTGTATAAAAGAGATGAGACGAAGAAAAAATAAGGGCTAATTTTCAAAAGATACATTTATGAGTCAGACTTCTTTCATATTCCTGCTGGAGCTGAGCCATGTAGATTGAGCTGCATCCTCCAAAGTGCCCTAGGGATTGATGCCTATCTCCTGTATGCCCCAAATAGCAAACAAGATAGAATTGGATGGTGAGTCTGGAGATATTCTTCAGAATATTTTCCAGAAACAAACGGGTGTTAATAGTTTTCAGCAGGAAAACAGAGACAGGAATCAAAGTGCAGTGTTGTCTGTAAGTCTAGGATCACACGTAAATGTAATCAGTTTGAAAATACCAAATTCTGGTTCTGGTAATAACAGCTTTAGTCTAGTGACAACTTCTTTTGCAAGTGTAATAGATTAGGTTGTTTTTCTCTTGGATACTTCTTGAATTTGTTCATATAAAACTTCTTCAGTCAGATGCAAAATACTGTGCATGTAAATAAGAAGGTGCTAAGTGGCAGAGATTGGCTAAGGGAACCGGATTTTGCAGTAATGAGTGAACTGTGGAGTGACTGTGAAGATATATCCTCCCAGTTCATACTGGGAGTAAGGAGAGGAAGAACTCTGTAGCTACATAACTCGTTAAAACACTGAAAATTGTGTTTAAGGC